CAAATATTTGTTTTAAGAACATCAAATTTCCGCGGGAAAACTATCAGCCGATAGTTCCTCGACAGAAAAGTATAATTTAAGCAAGTTTTTCTTTTAGGAAGTGTCAGGAGCCGGTACGGCGTGATACGACCGAGGTTTCTTCTATTGAATTTATTGGTTATCGGATGCCGCTACCCGAGCAAAACGGCTGCATAGTTTTATTCACAAGGCATCAATCAACCAGTGTATCTGGCCTTTTCGATATTCTGATTCGTTGACTAGATATCCGCATCTAAAGCCGGTTGGTGTAGCTAAAAATATGCAAGACGCGTTGCGTAAAAAAACGCCACGGGAAAAATAATCCTTTTAAATATACAAATTTCCCGAGAGTACGCACTTTCGTTTGTTACCATCCCTGGAATGTTCTGACGAAATTTCACGAAAATCCGTCAAATTTGTATACCCTATAAATTCGCTCAAAGTGGATGTATTCCTTCTGTTATGAAGAGCGGACGTGAATATTGAAGTTTCTGGAAACTTCTAGAATGTCAAGTCACGCAATGTTGGTGCCAGAATCTTCTATTGTCACGCTATGGAACATTTTAGAACATTCTACCGAATGATGTAATGATAATGTAATGTTACATAAATAGAAGCTCCAAGAATGTTCTAGAATATTAGTTAAGTGTATATAACGAATCAGCTAGGTCCTGAAGATTGTCTCATTAGTTCTCGGCAAAGACCGAGAGAAGAAGCTATAGAAGTCCTGTTAGTAGTTCTCGGCAGAGACCGAGTTGAGAAGCTACAGTCCCGTTGTTGTTCTCGGCAGGGACCGAGTGGAAAAGCTATAAAGTGTTATTGCTATTGTAAAAGCTGTTGACGAACTTTGTTTAAGGTCAAGTGGACCGTAAGGAGATCTCTTTGGAGACATCGAGATTTGTTGTGAGTTCGTGTCAGTGGTAACTAAAGTTTAGCAGTAGGCTTAACTTAGTTTAGTAGTAGATTGTATTGTTTAGAAATCGCTCCTTTGTAGCTAAGGTTTTATTACGTATTGTTAAATAAATAAGTTGGGTTCGTAGAAGAGTTTCGTAGTATATCTTTCTGGCGGTCATGCGATACCGTAACACTCCCAAAATCAAATGCGAGATTTTAACTCGTAAAGGTTCTTAAACAACTCGCGCCACGCCAGGAGATTATCTCGCCTTATGAAACTGCAAACCATTGGAACAACAGGACCTCCTAGCGTCAATGAAAATAGATAAGGATATTTCTCGCTGTATAATTAAAGAGAAAGACACTAAAACGGGCAAAGTAGCCAAAGGCAAAAGAGCAAATGCGCGTTGCAAACAAGATGCAGCTTTTGTCGCGAAAATTTCCCCTGGAAGTTTCGTCCATTTGAACAATTATGACACTCTCCTGGTTTATTAACTTTATTTGAAAATACTATTTTTTTTCCAAATAACTCGGCCGCTTTTTGAGATTTTTAATAGCTTTCTTTTGTAAACTAACGATAAAATGACTGACTTAAATTTTGTCAAACTGTAAAAAAGAAAAAAAACAAAAAAAAATTTTTTGTGCCCTTGAAGGTGGGAAGGAACCTTAATCCCAGCAAACGACACCTTGATCTTTGTTTTCATAGGAAAGTATATGTACACTGAAGCTACTGCTCAGTCGGAAGGCGATAATGCTAAGCTCCAGCTTGTGGTACCAAGAGGTAGCTCATCTTCGTGTTTGACGTTCTTCTATCACATGTATGGATACTCAATGGGTACTCTGAACGTATTCAACGGAAATACTTCAATATTTACTGCGTCAGGAGATCATGGAGACAATTGGAGAAAAGTTACAAGGACAGTAAATTCGAGCGACGTTGTAAGTATGCCTGGATTGTGTGGGTCCTGAATTTTTGTAATCCGCAGTATTTTTGTCGTCAAAACATTTGAAAGATCTTCAGACATGTGCATTTGTGTATGTATGTGGGCGTACACCTTTGCATACGTATATACATAGATACACCTATCTACTCTTGGTCATGTCCATTATAAGCGATTTTGCTCAAACTGATTCGCATATTTTGACACACCATGATGGGCTTTTTTCGATTCGTGTACGATCGTGTTCGTGTACAATCGTGTACGATCACCAATGAGAGAACCTGACAGCTCCAAGAAACTCCAGTTTATAGAATAATCTTTTTGCTATCTCTTTTCATCTTCTTGAAATGAAAGGATTTGTCAAGGCCTGTGACTTTGAACTTTACACTTGTTTCTTTCCTAGCTGACATTCGAAGGAATAATAGGATGGTCATACGCAAGTGACATCGCCATCGATAACGTAACAGTTAGTGAAGGAAATTGTCCAGGTAAGACAGCTTGAGAACAATATAATCGTCATTTGATGTCCGTTGCCTGAAAGGCCAATCCTAAATGAAAATCGTACTGATCAAAATAGAAACGTGTAGAACGGTTTCTCGAATGAGTGCCTATGGTGATTCGCATTTTCGTTGATTTTGCGTTTCTTCTCTCATAGATTGGTTTAATAAGCTCACGCCACGTTGTCACCGAATCAAAAGTAACAACGAAACCAATCTTTTCTTTCTTGCACACGTTTTCAATAGATTGGCGCCAGGTCTATGCATTTGTTTTGGGTTATGATTGCTTCATTGGACTGTCTGGAACATTTATTATTGGGCAGAGTGATGACCTTAGGTTTGGTTTTATGATTCACAATTGGAAACAGCTCTTATAGCTGTTCATTGAACAGCTCGGTTGAATGTAGTGTTGTCAATGAAAAACAACAACAAAAACAAAAACAAGAAAAACAAAACGTTAACAAAACAAAAATGAAGGCGCGGTGACCTCAGGTCAGTGCGCTCGGCTCCGGATCAAGCTGTCCCGATTCGAGCCCTGGCCGGGGGATATCGTGTCTTGAACAAGGCAAATTACTCTCCTAGGTGTGTAAATTGATACTGGCGAATTTAATGCGGGGGAGGGGGGAGGTAACCCTTCGATGGCCTAGTATCCCTTCCAAGGAGGGTGTAAAGGTACTCCTAGTGGCTTCATGGTACTGAAACGGGGGATAAGTGCCAACCTGGTGGACCACTTGGCTCGTATTACTGTCATCAAAAAAGAAAAAAAAAGAACGAAAAAGTAAAAACAAAGATGGAAAAACGACAACAACAACAACCACAACAATGTAACGGTTAATTCATTTCTCCTTTAGTTAGTATATCTTGCAACTTCGACAGCGGGCTTTGTGATGGCTGGGAGCAATCTTACTCAGACGTCTTTGACTGGACGCGTCGGACAGGATCAACATTGTCTTTAGATACAGGTCCAGACTACGATCATACCAGTGGGACAGGTAAGGAGAAAAACCTGAATTTAAATGTTATTGTTTGTTTATTTTGCTTTTCAGCAACATCATTTAAAACAGAAACTTCGAAATATGTGCGAAAATAGAAGTCACTTGTACTTTGTTTCTTTTTAATCAAAAAAAATATATATATATTTGTTATGCTTTCGGTCGGGCAGATATGTTTTTTTGCGTTCACAGGATACTATATGTATATCGAGACGTCGTTCCCCCGAGTCGCCGGTGATAACGCAAAGCTTGAGTTTGCTGTACCTGGAAATGGAAGATTTTCTTGTCTCGAGTTCTATTATCACATGTATGGAGACACTATGGGCACTCTTACAGTCTTCAGCGGAAGTGCGGTAGTTTTTAACACATCAGCTAACCATGGCAACACTTGGATAAAGGCGGAGATTACCATTCATTTGGATAGCATTGTAAGTTTTAAACTGTAGACACATGATTTATCTGGCAAATCACTGAAAATTTCATCCTCTACCTTCGAAAGAATTTTTACAATTAAAATGGAAAACATTACGCGTC